CAGGTGAGACCTGAACAGCACACGTTGCTATCTGTGTTTAAACTAAACTCATTTAAGCCTTGCCAGTTTAAATATTAAAGAGAAGATGCAAACTCGCGCGCGCGCAGTGAGAAGATCTGTGTGTGCGCTCATCCGAAGCGTGTGAACCCGCGTCTCAGAGCCAAGCGGCAACCTCCCGCTCTCTCTCGTGAAGCCAACAAGGAAGTGATTTAAACTGTAATTCATCAACTGGCCGCTAGAGGTTAGGGTTAGGGTTAGGGTTAACTGGCTAACTGGCTGCAAAAGAGAGTCAATCCCATAGACTCCCCATGTTAACATGCCCAACTTTACAGCAGAAAAAAACATCTTTACAGCCTGGTTCAAAAAATTATTTTGGTCTATATAGCTAATTTTGCCCTTCATGACAACTGTGAGGGGGGTGAATTTTTTTATAACTCATCCGTTTAAATTATATTAAAGGGGTCATATGATGCGATTTCAAGTTTTCCTTTCCAGTAAAGTAACGCAACTCAGACGAGCTCAGCCGGAAAGTAGAGCAGCAAAAACAGTTACCGTAAGTATGAATTATGAATTAGACTCACACGGAGGACGTGTCGATTATACTCTAAAATCACCATCAGTCCTCCTACAGCTGATGACTCAGAGCGCAGAACAGGTGGGAGTGAAGAGCTCCGGTTACACGCAGATATAATCAAATCAAAAACTACATTAATAATTACATACACACAGAAAACAAAGATCAAATCAAATCAAATAATAAATTAAAATTATAATTAAATAAATAAAATACCATAAAAAATATAATGTAAAATAATAATATAAAATAAACAAACAGGCTGAACGAAAAATTAAAATTAAATACAAAGAAAACAGAAAAGTAATAAAACATAAATATAAAAAAATATAATAAAATATAAGATAAACAACAATAAAACAATAAAAATGTTTGTATTTGTTTGTAAAATTCATTACAAAAAAGGCTCCCATCAGGCTCCCATCAGAGTGGTAGTTAATTCATTTGAGAAAATTAGTCAACTGACAGCACTAGTTATGATGTAACTAACTATCTTTAAAAGGCCATCTCACGCATAAGTGGTGCCTGAGGATGGAGAGCTGTGATGAAGACACACACACACACACACACACACACACACTCGTGTCGTCTTCAGGTCTCCCAGCCTTTGCCGCCCGGTTGCGTTGGGAGCCGGAGCCCCACGAGTCCCGCCACCTGCTCAGGTGTGCGCTCGCCGCGGGCGTGGTAGCGCTCGTGCAGACGCAGGTGCAGGCGCGTGGACGTCAGCAGGCAGAGATACGTGCGCGCCGCGTGAAGAGCGTCCATCCCACACACACACGGATCAGATCAGGTGTCCGGAACGCTGTAATATGTTCATGTGGATAAACGAGCTTCATGCAGTAAATCAAGCTCGAGTTTCACTTCTGCAGCGAGACACATTATCACAGTCCTGACGAACTAGCCACGGCTTTACCACAAACCTTGGTTACAGTTCAAACATGGAAACCACAAATTAACCATGGTCTTGCTACACTAAGCACACTTTAATCATGGTATTTGTAGAAACCCGGGCAGAAGTGTGTATCACGAGCCGTGACTGATGTGATCGGTGTCATGATCCGCAGAGCGCTCCGTTACCTGGTTCCTCCTGAACTGCTCCAGCACATGTTTATAAGCCAGAGTGTTTCTGTAACCGGAGCCCTTGGCGATCCGGAGCTCCTTCAGTAGACCGCGACACGCGCGCAGCGGAGAGGTCACGGCCGCCATCCCGACAGACAGCACGAGTCGAGCGACGAGCGCAGAGACACCGAACCAGCGGCAGCCCGAAGCAATCACAGACAGCACGAGTCGAGCGACGAGACACCGAACCGAGAAGGGTGTTCCTGCACAACCGGAGGCTGCAGTTTCAGGACCGCAGTTCTAGGACCCTGGTGGTTTAGTTTGTAGTAATGTTTGTACATGTTGTTAAAGATATCGAATCTCAGGAACATTCTCACAAACAACTGAAAGTTAAGACCTTAAGTCTTAGTTTCTTGAAATATACTGTATATTGATTAGCCCCCTTAAGTTTAACTATCTCATTATCAGGTATAATAAATTTTAATAAAATAGAGAGAGAGGGAGAGAGAGAGAGACAGAGAGAGCGAGAGAGAGAGAGACAGAGAGAGCGAGAGTGAGAGAGACAGAGAGACAGAGAGAGAGAGAGTGAGAGAGACAGAGAGACAGAGAGAGAGAGAGACAGAGAGAGCGAG